GCGATTCGATTCAAAATGGCCGACTGGCAGCCATCTTTTGTTTTTTGAAAATGTTGTATTTTGGACATGCTTTGTCAGTTGTCATTCAAACTTGGTACATAGATTATACATGTTAGGATACATGTCCATGACGATTTATTTTGCAATTGGATCAAAGATGGTCGACTGGCAGGCATCTTGTTTTTGTTTTTTTATGCGGTATCTTGGACGTGCTCTGTCAGTTTTCATTCAAATTTGGCACATACATGTTAGGATGCATGTCCATGACAATTTGTTTCAAAATCTGGTCAAGGATGGTTGATTGACAGCCATCTGACTTTTTGGCCTACTATATTTCCACAATTTATGTACCATTTTCATTCGTATTTGGCACATACATCATACATATCAGTGTGTTTCATAATCAGATCAAAGATGGCTGAATAATGGCTGTTTTTATTTTGGCCATATTACTATGACACGAAACACGTGTTTTGATGTAAATAAACAATCTGTTGTATACGCCACTTGGAACTCAAGTTTCAAGGACACGCTCGCGACAACCCCTCCGCTTTAATATGACGAGCACAAAGAGAACTTAACGGGGACTGTGTCATTTTCAATGACTTGTTTTGTTTATAAAATGGGAATTTCATTTCACCAAATTACAATAAGATGTTCTTTAAAGATCACTATATCAGTGTACTATTTTCTGTTGTGTCAAAGACACGTCAGTTAAATAGCCCGTCTAGTTGCAAGTCTTTGTACATCATTGACATGTCATATTGGCTTAGAGGGCCCTATGGTGCAGTACTACATAAAAATCATACTCATCTGAGTATTATCAAGTTGAATATATTTCACCCCTGTGCAATAATGCTTAAATGTGAAAGGTAAAAAGGTTACAGAAATACAGACTCAGTTGTCAGTACTTGGAAAGTAATAATATATCTAGCATTTCGTTTGCACACATACATTTTTGTTTTGTTGTGATATAATTGTTTTTTTGTTTGTTTTGTAGCTACAAATGTACCAGTTATCACGTCTACTTCACGATTACTATCGTCCGTTACATGACCATTTAGAAATGCACGACA